GCGGGGGTCACGGGGTGGGCCCCTTTGCCTGAGCAGCCGGCCTGGGCGCACCTGTAGCGCCAGACATGGCTTTGTGCCCCTCCACCCTTTTTAAAATCCTGCTTGAGCGAGCAGCGCCCGGGCTGTTGCTGTCCCCGCTGGGCTGGGCTTGGGGTGGGCTGCGCGGGGCAGGAGAGGTGCCCGCAGGCAGGACCCCGGGGGTGGCAGCCCCCGAACCAGCGTTTGACACCCCAAAGGGGCGCTGAAAGTGCTCAAAGACACGGGGCTGAAGAAGGTGGTGCACACCCCGAGAGGGGCCGGTTGGCAGGGCAGCAAAAAGGGGCTGGGGTGCTGTAGGGCTGGGGCCTGGAACCATCCTGCCCAGGGGTTGTGGAGAGGACCCCAGCTTCCCCCACCACCCAGTGGGTCACCCTCACTTGTGGGCAAAGAGTGGCCAGCCTGCGAGAGGCAGGGATCTTCTACTCCCCTTCATGAGGGAGGCTGGCTGTTTTCCACTCTCCTACCCTGGCTCGCTGGAGGACTAGTCGCTGTTGGATGTATATACTTGTGGGCTAATATTGTGTGTAGGGAGTATGTGAAGTCCTGGACTAGAGAGTGTGGGGTGGAGGAAGCTTGTCTGTAGTATGTGGGGGCATCCACACATCAAGATCTCTGGGCTTGGGCCTGCACGTAGGCTGCCTGCCTATGGATTTGAGACTATCTGAAGCCCCAGGGTGAGAGGTCTGGGATGGAGGGTGCTTGCTGGTTGCAGTGCTGTACGTAGTGTTTGGAACGATTGAGTTCTGCCTGCTCAGTCAATACGGGTTTGTACCGATTGAGTTTTGCTCCATCGAATGTGATTTGGAACGGATTTGGCCGATTTTGATTTGGAACATGAAATATATTATTAAAAAGAAAAACAAAACAAAACTTGGATTTGCATGTCTTGGGGGCTGTTTGACAGCATGTGGCAGCTCAGGCCTAATATATATTATTATTGTTATACTAGAGAGGGATGAGTCCAGGCATCCCTGTGACACTTGACACCACCCCCACCATTGCCTCCTGTCCTTCAGCTACTGCAGGAGCAGCTGCCTCCAGCTCCCCCTTATTATAATACTAATATTATAATAACATACATTATAATAGATTATGTAAACTTATCACTAGTGCATTATTACATGAGCACTGTACACACATTGCTACTGTAAATGGATTCTATTATAAAGTCTTTCAG